AAATTGAATATAATGGTCCGTTAAAACCCAGGTTTAGGGAAAAAATCGATTATAGAATATCATCCTTCAAATAGTCTCATGTTTATTACTATCCTTCAAGAAGATTTCGTTGCTTTGTAATTTTTTTTCTTCTTTCCTACATCACCTTTTTAACTACAGGGAGTTTTTACAGAACCAGGGGAGAGAGCGGAGGATTAAGGGCAGAGTTAAATGCCCCAGACACCGAGACTCGAACTCGTAATCTTGAGGTTACCAGGTTGAAGTGTATTGTAAAGGGTTTAGCCCGCTCGACCACCCCTTCTCTACAGCAAGTTCCTAACTGTTCAAAGAAAACTTACATTACTTGAACGTAAAAGAGATTTGTAATGCTTTATCCTAGTGGTGTAAGCAAATACTGTTTTTCCTCGCAACCTGATCTAGTTAGAGAAACATAAGTTCTACATGAAAGAAATAAAAATCTGTGTCCTCAAAAGTCAGCCTCATGCTTAAAATTTTGTCCCAGTTCTATTTTTCTGAAGACACCCAAGAATAAAGAAAGTTGAACTAGCGTAATTTCCTACATTTTTCATGATTGATTGACGTTTATGGAATTTTCTCCGTTCCTCAAGAGTTGTAGCATAATGTTATAATTATCTTCCTCCATCAATAAACGATTTAAAGCAATACATGTTTTCAGTTAAAAGTTCCTAAAATCAGTACTGACGATGATATTTATCACCTTAATATATTAGTATAGACAAAAAGATATTCAGAAATTTGGGTGTATTGTTTTAAGTTTTAAAATTATTAAATATCTTTCATTGGAGCTATTAAACTACTAAATTATTAATGAGATATTCATAAAAAAATCTACATTTTTGTTATTTTACCATGCAATCAAATAAACATTCGCGGGCCATAGTTCTACATCATCGCAAACTAAATAAATGTCCTAAATTATAAAATTGAAAATGCTTTTAACGTTTCTTTGTAGATAGCCATAACATCAATTATCTATTCACGCAATCAACGGCCTTGGTTTAAGTTATATTTGGGATATAGAATTAGCAGATCAAAATCGATGACGAGAAAAAAGGTTTGGGTCTTCTAACCTGGCGTAGTAGTATTTCTATTTAAATTTCCTACCAGTCTGAAGTTATTTATTTATGCGCCTAAAAAAGCACAAATATTTTTACTCTCGTCATCAACTTCGATAGAAGAAAACGTGAGGGGGGGGGGGGCGCCTTCTTTAATCTCTCACGCTTGATTCGCCAAATGAGATTACGATAAAAATATTGACATAAGTGACTGAAATATATATACATATATATATATATATATATATATATATATATATATATATATATATATATATATATATATATATATATATAAAAATATTGACTAAAGTGACTGAAAAATATTTATATATATATATATTATTTTTTAAAGATACAACTCGAACTAATAAGATATTAAAAAAAAATAGATGTTCAATAAATTTTACATATAAGGGATGGTCCTGATAATCCGAACAGGTATATTGCATGACCTGTTCGGATTATTAAAAATTAAATTTAAAATGATAAAAAATTCTGCAAACTAAACAAAACATGTGTATTATTAGTTAAATATATACACATAGCAAACAAAAAAATTATTTCTGAAAATTATCGTAAATAATACGTAGAATCCCTGACAGAGTCGCTAAAGAAAATGCCTGATCTCGTAAATTTTCTAAAAGTACCAGGCTTCCATAGTCGATTTTGTATCCATTCCTCCCCTACTCCAAGCGAGTATTAAATGCCTTTATGGCGTTTCTATGACTTATCCATAACAACAAATAAAATGGCTGTAAAGAAACATTCCAGTGATATGAGAATTAATATGGAAATGGCTGCTTTTGAAATTATCAAACAAACCTTTACTGCCATGAAAATCTATTTTGTAAACCTCCTTAAAGACATTATAAAAAAATAAAAAAACCTTTAGACTTTCCAGCTAATATATCCATAGAAATTGAACACCCTAGTGATCTTTACTGCAAGAACCACAAGAGATTCCTCAACTTCTGGATGACCGCCTAGTTATAACGTTTTCTTTTTAGAGACATCACGAAACCATTTCGACACTACCACACGAAGCAATTCTAGTGATATGTACTACGAAACAGAGCCATTTCCATTTCGTCTCTCGTCAGCCAACTATTTTTTATTTCCTGTTCGGATTACCAGAGGTTTCGGATTGCTATGGATCAGGATTTTCGAGACCGACTTGTATTTTGAAACTGTAAGCTAATAAACGATTTGCTAATATGACGGCTCAATGCATTTCTGTTTAATCATAAATGATTCACTACCTTATTTCTGGAGAACTTTTATTTTTAAATTCCGATGTACAAAAGGTGACAGGAATTCTGAGCTAAATTCGTAAGAATCAATAAACATATATAATGATGAACATCGAATATTTTCAAACTTCACTTTATATTAAATCCAAAAGTTGTGTGTAATAATAATTGTATTTTAAACTTCATTGACTATCGGTTCGTATAAATATCGTTTCCACATAACCTGCACTCAAGGCATATATTTCCGACACACAAAGACTAGCTGTCCCACAACTCGCCTACCTGTTTCCCCGAAACACCTACACAGCCACCTTCATATTTCCTATTCCCATTAAACAGGTTACCTAAGAAAGCGCTTAAGAAGTTGCTTTCACAAATAACAAAAAATGTAGGGCATGGATGCATTGCGAGTAATTTCTTTAAAAAAAAGTTTTGAAATTTGAACTTTCTTCAGTTACTCATGTCGTAAAAGAACTTTAATGGCATAGTGCAAAATACCCATATTAGTATTTTTTTTAAATTGTTCTCAAAATAGCACTTGGAAGACCTTGGATTAAAGCAATAGCCAATGGCTAGATCTAGAGTGAGGAGGGCTTTCATGCTAAAGAAACACAAAATTGAATTTTTATTTTAATGGTCTAAATTTGTTTGTGATTTATCTTTTTGTCATGTGAGTTAAACCATAGTGCATACACAGCTAATAAATGTAGGCACCTGTCATGAAAAATTTATAAGAAATTTATTTGTGAAAGCATTGTTGTTCCTGTAATTAACCTTTTTTTGGTCTTCAAGGACTATTTAAATATAATTTCACATAGTTAATTTTATTTCTGTTTCTTCCAGAGTAATTACCATTATTATTCTGCAATAAGCTATAATTAGCTACTGGCACTAGTATAGTATTCATCCTACTACAGTATTCTTGAGAGATAGTGTGGTCAGCATTATTCAACAACCTGATTAAATCATTAACTAAGATCAGAAACTCATTTCATTTGGTAATTGGACCGAGGACATGTCTAGCAAACCATAGTTTTCTTTCTGGTAACACCATACAAGCAAAAAATCACATGAAATACTAGGAAAACATGTAGTTGGCCCCCCAAGAAATGAATTAAGTTCCTTAAATATAAGTATTGAGTACATCCTATCAACTAGGCTATCTCCCTCTCTTATCAATATTTGTATGAAAATTTAATTCATTATTGCTTTATCATATTTTGATAAATAATTTTTACACCATTCACTTCCATAACTAGATGCTTTTCTTAAATCTTCATAGGAAGATAACTTTTCACACTATAGACTCTAGTCTAAGTCTAATAATTAAAAGAAAACTAATAATGGCATTAGACATAATAGTTCAGTGTATTATATTTTAAAAATGTGCTCAATTGCATAATAAGAGTATATAATTACTTAATATTACATGCTACCATTGAAGAAATTTAACAATAAACAATCTTGGTAATAGTTTTTCTAATTTGATTTACCAAGCTGAACGGCAAATAGAAGGGTAAAATATTTTTTTTTTAAATTCACATTTTTTTTAACAACATTAGAGGTACAATAAGGAGAATAGTTTCCTATGATCATAAATTTTGGTACTAAAATAGTACTCCTACTGTAATTTTTTTTTGCCAAGTCGAGTCTTAACCATTATAAAAAGTTACCATAAAATAAAAATAGAATAAGAAAAAGTATCAGCACGTCAAATTATGTTTTTTAATAGTTTAAAAACGTAGAAACTTAAAGAAGAAATAAATTGTAAAATAACAATATTTTTAAGGAGACAAACTACAAACTCTTGGACACTTGGTAAGTAACATTGATATTACAAAAACTAATTGTAAATAGGAATTTCATATATTGTTTCTCATTAATGTCATTAAATGGTGTCATAGATTATAATATCGATAAATGAATACATTTAGTGAAGAAACTATTAAGCTGTTTTCTTCCTCTTTCATATATAGGAGAATAAATAATCATTACTTTAAATTAATGGAGAGGAGTTATATTTTTAATAAAATAAAAACTGAATAATACAGTATACAAAGTTCTTCAACCCTCTTCAAAAAAGGACACAAACAGAAATTAAACTTATTTTCTAAATACAATCAAATAAGATATGATCCAGAGGTACCTAATAATCATCTCTAATGCCTACATATACAAATAGTTAAGTCGATATTATATTAACTTTCTGCATTAAGAAACAAACATTATGACAGTATATACATATATCATTAAAGCCATACAGAAGTAATCAAAATTTGAGTACTGAAGTCATCTTTACTTTCTAAAATAATAATATTAAGACTTGGAAAGAAACAAATTAATTAAATACTTGAAATATTTTTGAAGAGACCATTGAGGAAAGAAGTGACAATAGGAAGTAGAAATTTTAAAGAGCTAAATTTAATAAACACAAAACTTAAAATTTTATTAATGTGATCGAGTTAAATTAATGAAATTAGTAAGAACTTCAGCCTTTTCAATAATATACGTTCTTTAAATTTCTTAATCTAATCCAAAATTTCTCGTTCCCTATCACTAAGGGAATAAAAATATTTACTGTAAATTTTTATTTTAATCCTTAGCTTTATTATAAATCTGTGTACTGTACTAGAAAAATAATCAAAAAATATTAGGATTAGCGTGTACTTACGTGATATTAAAATATGTAATTCCTAGACATGGGTCTCTCTTTTACAAACCATCAAGAATAATAATCTAAAAACAAAAACAGAATAAAATTAAAAGACCACGCAGTGATTTTCTAATAATCAGAATAGTAAAGCCCTACCCATTAAAGCAACTCATTCTCGATAGTTTTTGCTACAAGTAATAAGAATTAAAAAATAGTCATTAATTACCAGAAAGAAACTGATTAACAATAAAATTTGATTTTCCTAACTGTTATCAACTTTACAATGTTAGGAACATTTAACTTATGTTAAAGTTTTTAACAAAAATAACTGCTACTTTTATGAACTGGATGTCAATGCCTACATTCCAACAATGTCTACATTCAACAAAAAAAGCATCGGTCAAAATTTAGATCTTATATAATCCAATAATAAAACTTATAGAAATTACTTTGTTAATTATTGAGCATTCTTTTGAATAATCGTCTGTCTTATATATAATCAACAACATTCCCTCCCCCTCTGTTTCAACATAAAGAAGAATAAATGAAATTTCTGGTACTATTTAAGACTACTGTGAGTCACCGAGAAGTTACTATTAATTCTGATTACTCAAGACCTCAAACAAGAACAGAACAGAAATAATATTGAAGGGACATACTGTATATTTGACTAAAAATAAAGTAAAAATTAATGATTTTGGATAAACATTTAATTACAAAACAAACTAAAATAATAAAATTAATGAATACCATTTGCAATCTGCAAAATAAAAATGAAGTATTGGCGAAAACAAAATGACTTCAAAAACTGGTATAGAAAACAATTTTTTTGCAAAATTGGAATTAATATAAATTAAAATATTAATACATAAAAATAATAATAATAAAAAAATAGGTACAGTAAAACTTAAACACAATAACAGAGATGCCACTAAAAACGCAATTACCATTTTATAAATATTGTTAATGTTTATCAAAATTCACAATAGTCAAATTTAGTAAAAGTTTTTAATTATTATTATAATAATTAAAAACTATAGAAGAACGAAGATGTACAGTGAAGTGTTAATTCAACAAGTGTAATTTAAGACTTTATTCTAATTGATTTAACCATGTAACTGATCCATTGTTCAATGTACTAGAATATTTGAACGAGGGAATATTAATACATCTTAAAGTTTAAAAATCCAACTATATATCGTAATGCATTTATTAAATCTAAAAAATATAAATAGAAACATTAAATAATCTTTTATTACTTAACAATTGTGTAACTCAAGTTGATATTAATAGAGAAAAAGAAAATTTTAAAACTAATAAATACATATAATTTTAAATGTATGATGAAATTGTTAGTTCATATATCAATGAATATTGTTATGAAACAGTAGTGTTCAATCACTTCATTGACAGAAACCAGAAATACATCATTATGATTTTCCTTATTCCGAATTTTAAATATAAGAGTTGAATTATTTCATTAACATATAAAAAAAATCAATAAGATTAATAATGCAAAAAGTCATTTATTAAATATTTGATTAATACATCATATAAAAGAAGATACTTCACAATCATAAATTGCAATAAGCATGGAATTAACAAAAAAATTGAATATAAAAATCCAATTCTATTCTACCACACCCACCCACAATGCCTGGCAATAAGATACCATCAAACCAAAATTATCCCAACTTGCCTAATTTTAGAATTGTAACTACAGGAATAAACAATTTATTGCTTCAACATAAATAAGAAATGATACATGCATTGGGATGAAGTTTTCTTGAGAAGTTTGGAAACAAATAATATTAAACCCTTATTTATGTATGGCATACATATATGGCAAATGCATCTCTTCTGAACAAAAATATTTCACATTGAAAAATAAAATACAAACATTTATTGCGAGTTATGAAATAACGATATTACATAAAATGATTTAGCATGGACAGTATAAAGAGAACTGTACACCATTGAAACTATGGTTAAACAACTGTCACAATTAAGACAATAAATCAAAAAAATCTTCAATCTTAAACTTAAATCCAGTAATTAAAACTGTAATTATTGTATATTAGTAAATAATCCTAATGGTTTTCAATTAGCACAGCCTATGTCTCAGTGTTATAGATAAGATAAATAGGGTAATGAACTAACTATCATAGTCAATCAAAATGAATACAAGTTACGATAAAGTTGCTAACAGCCAATAAAAAATGTTGAAGTTATAGTAACATGGTAATGAAGAATAACTATTATATTAACAAAAATATTTATTTGGGAAACAAGACAAATGTCATACCAATACCAACAATGGTTAAAACCACTTACTACAATTAATAAACAAGTTTCAAAACACACTATTTCTTAATTTAAATTTGTAGAGTTGAGAGTACTATTTCAAACTGAGCCTATCAACAAACCTGAAAAGCTAAATGGAAAAATCAATACAACAGCATCCATGAGAAACATAATGGAACCAAGGGCTGGTCTATATGAAATCAAGAGAGTTTGAATTCGAAGTAAAAAGTGTCAAAAATCATATACTTGATAAACATCAATAGTGAATGACATTAATAAACATAACCGTCCATCTGATCAAAACAAGTCATTAAAATCTCATAACATCTGGTTATATATCGAAAAAACGATAACCTACATAAAAAGAAATAAGTAAATAAGTAGTTACATACCTAATCAAACAAATAATCGAAGTAATTTTAACACTAATCGAAGTTTAAACCCAATAGAAAATAACATAAGCAACACACCCAAAGGCTCCCCACTACTGTAGCACCATTTTGGTGACGTCATATTCACATGTTCGGAACAATATTATTGGATCCCTCATAGCTCCGAATTGGTTTGAAATGGGAATGTTTTATGTAGGAACCAATTCAATGTATTAATTTTAAGATGGAATGTTATCATTGAATGTCGATCGACTTGGAATCGGTAACATAAGCGGGAGCCAACTTCTAGACCATATATGGTTATGGTCGCCCACTTTTATGTTTCATGGAATAAACCTTGTAAAGATCCATATGCGGAATGTTATCACTAATATCCTAGAAAAACGAGTATAGATTTGTTTATAAATTTAGTAATGAATATCCTAAATTGTTGAATATTATCGTTAACTCTAATTAGGTATCAATCTCTAGTAATAGTTTTATTGACAAAATACTGAAGTTATTAATAATTCTAATGATACATTTTTTTCCTGCAACAGATTCATAGTTGGTTGTGACCACCTTCGATTCTTAGAACTTATGTTGACATTTTTCTGTTAATAAAACATCATACTATGTCATGAAGAATTTTTAAATAATATTCGTACTCATGTTTCTTATATTACATTTTTAATATATTTATTTAGACAAACAACAGTCTATAAAGAGTCCTCTGACTCGGTCCTAAGAAAACGAAGTGGTGTACTGCCAGCGTTTTTCTTCATTCATAAAATATTTGGTATTAATATTTTCTAAAAATATTGATTATGTTTCTTATAAAATATAACTAAACTTTATAAATTCAGCATAATTTTATATTACCATGTAATGGGAGCAGCTAGTTGGTATGCAAAGAAACTTCTTTAAAAGTCAAGGATATTTATGAAATTCATTGAGATACCACAATAACTTTTTTGTTTTTAATATTAAATAATGAAAAAACGAACAGTGATCATAACTTAAACACCTAAAATAAGTCTACTACAATCAATAACGTAAATTATAAAAGTAAGTATCCCTTTAAGAATAAACATATATTGGTTCGCCTACAAATTTCCGGGACCTACCAACCCAAACCCTATTTTTCTCGTGTCTTTCCCCACCGGAATAGAGTGTCAATACGTCATTTGGTCCTTTTCATATGCGGTCGTTGACAACACACAATAAATGGAAGTATATACTTAACAATAGCATAAGCATTAATATATAAATATATTAATAATTGGCTATCGATCGTTAAAATTTATTATTGTTTCTAAGAGCGAATAAAATTATTTTATTTTATACTTCGATGAATTTATTATAAATGAAATGATAAGTAAGAACATTTTTTTAAGAAGAGAACGTCAATGAAATTATATTATTTTTTACGCTATCAATTATTTTCTAATCATGATGTATGATTGGGATAAAAATATTCAATTTAGTGAAAATATCTGTGATAGTAAACGAGCTACCAAATATAAAAACTATAAAAATAAATCTTGGAACTGACCATAAAATTTTGAGATTTATATTTTCCAATTTTTTCAGAAATAGAGGCGGCTGATTATGGCGGGAATGGAATTGACTTAATCTTTTAAAATGGTACTGAAGAGTCATGGTCACCAGTACTTCAGGTCCTGTTTCTGATTGTTAAATGAATTGACCTTATTAACTATATCAAACCTGTGAAACTAATATGCATTTATTACTGTAAGTATCAACAAAGATATAACTTATTGCATTTTGAGATATTATAATTATCAAATTTAATTAAAAATAGATTTTATTACTTTATTTAACATTGTTAGAGACTATATTAAGAACATATAAGTATTACTGATAGAATGTATCAAAACATAATTTATAAATATCTTTGTTTTTGTCATAAGAACACTGTAACAATAATAATTTTAAAAAAACTAAAATAATCTTTATTTGTTCAAGATAAATATGTTTAGATAAGCTTGTTTCAACAAATATTGATTTAAATAATATCTATATCAATTTTACCATCTTATTATAATACAAAAGTAATTAAGACAATTTTGAAATGATCAATAATAATATTTTTAAAATAGTTGATTTTTAATAGTGATGTAAAACAAAAAAAGAAAAATTTACATACCTCAGGAATATTTTATTACATATTCTTGATTCAATGATTTATCTTAATATTTAAAAAATATTTACACAACTTAACTGTTTGTTTGCAGCTTACAGTGGCTGCAGCCACAGGCGGATCTACTGGTGGAGGAATTCATTTTTATTGAATAAAATTATAATTCCAGAGTACCTTTGATAAACATAGCTGTCTTATTTTTAGTGGCATTGCTGATTAAAGTTGTTTATTTTGTAGTTAACTTTTGACTACTTGTGTGAACATACTGTAATTATTTGGCTGCTAATGACCTAGATGTTTCAGGTCTAAAACATCAAAACTAGAATTACTTGATTTGTTACAGACATTGGAATTATAAACTTATGTTTTCAAAAATAGAGAAAAAATATTTCAAAACCTATGTAAATCACTCTTATGATTCTATTATGAACCTACAGACTTAAATTAAAACTAGACTAGCAGTCACTGAAAAAATAAATGAAGAAGTCTAATACTGAAATTCTTCAAATTCTCAAATGACATTAGAATTTTAGGAGTTATAAAGATTTTACGATACAGAGTTTATTGTTCCGAAGTCTTGTATATCTGCATCTTTTCTTGTAAATTTTCTTAAAAAAATTAAATATGCTTAATAACAAAACATACAAAGTAAAATTGTAAATGGTTTCTTTCCAGTTTTAATTAAAATATATTTGTGTTGGTATTAAATAAATACAGTTTAGAGTCCAAAACTAAAACTGAGTATTGGTAGTTTTACACTAAATAACAAGACAAAACTAAATGGCAACAGGTTTGATAGGTCCTCACATCTTTTTCTTATTTTTGCTAAGTATGAATTATTCTAAAATGTAAATTTTGCATTTAAAAATATCCATGTATTTCATTTATTTGATAGATCACACAACAAATGTTTTGGTTATAATAATTTTACATTTCATTTTAAGACAAATTTTGCATATTTTATTACCGCTTGATAATATATATGAAAAATCTACTTTTAAAATGGTAGATTTAATTACTTTTATGTAATTTTTAATGTATTTTGTTCAAAAAAATTAAAAAACATTGTTTTGATATATACTAGCCTGAAAGTTAATAAATAGGATTTCACCGGTGTCTATTATTACTTTTGTCAGATAACTGAACAAAAGTAAAGATTTTTTGGTAGTATACAAATGGTAAACGTTTTTATTTAAATTTAAGAAGAATGAAAGTGCAATTTTATGATTGTTGATTTAATTTCCTTGATACAAATCTTTTGTCTGATCTCAGTTAATGTACCACAACCTTCATGTCAATTAAGAATTTCTCCAATCCAACAGTTTGAAGTCGATTATCAAAAGCAACCTTTGTGTTAAAAAAAAGTATTTCATTTTGTTAACCTTTTGCCTTTTCATACTTTAATTTCTTCATTATCACTATTGTAAAATTTAAATCACTATCTTAAATTTCACTTCAATGGGAGTGAGAAAAGAGGAGAGATCAACCTGTAATAAATGTCTTAAGTGGCTCAGTTTTCAATTTAAATATGTGGTTGGATGGGCCTCAGTGTTTGTTAAAAAAAGTATACAATACCCAGATAATGTTCACTAATTAACTGTCAAAAAAAAATTTAATCTACCAAGTGAGGATTTGAATAATATATATACTTTGCACTGCTGTACTTGTCAATTCTTAGATATTTACTGATCAGAAATTCCTATTCAATCAAATAATTATAATCGATATAGTTATTTTTTCAGACCCTTTTTCCGGTCACATCTTATATGGAAATCACTCGTTTGAGATCATGTCATGATAGTCATGTTTTACTATTATTTTACTATTAGTTAGTATAAAGTTTACACACTTTCAATTATCCCCACATATATTATTACAGTAAGGCTTGAAATCGGTTTTGTACAAAATATAAGCTCCTGTCATGCTCAAATACCGTTGGATTCAGAATTTCACGGGGGGTTAGTGAATCGTATTATCCACTTTTGTTTTTCTTTCTAAAATAAATAAAGTCGATACAAACATTTTGCTAGGCTACAATACTGGAACGGTGGTAGGTCTGTAGATCGATATGAAACTATCAGATCCTGCGTTTTTAAGCCCAAAAACGTACTATTTTCGAGATAATGCAAGGCATAGGGCTCGCATCCACACAGCCTTACATTAATTGTGGTACTATCATTGAATACATGTCTCATTTCGTCGACTTGAGGTCTCTATGATCGAGAGAGGAGGAGTTTATATTATTTATCAATGGTGTTTTTGATCAGCAAGCCATATCATCGTTAATTTTTCACCAAATCTCAAGATTGAGCCACCAATTTCGAAGGTTTCTTTCTCCTTCAGGTGGGCATAATAGTCCAATCACCCCGAAAATTCAGGCAAACAAGTTATGAAAGAAAACAAACTTTATTTGCGAATAACTAAAAAATTACACACTTTTTCCTGGGTTATGCCCTAGATTATATAAAAGATTACCAAATTCCCTACAAAAGGAAAAAAAAAAAACCCATCGAAATCGGACTATTTTTAGCAAAGATACAGCTTACTGAAATTTGTGAACATGTTGGTTCCAAACAAACATGAAGATTTAAATTAATTTTTGTTTTCTTTGTCGATTATATTTATCGATAAAGTAACATTTGATTTCTTTATCTTTTGATACCTTGCATTATTTTATTTTCTTATTAATTTGGCATTTGATAATAATATGCTGTGCGAATTGTTCGCACGGGCCTACTAGTAATTATTATTAAAAACACTGAAGTAATAAATTTTTTTATTCCATTAGTAACAAATTCTATTTATAGAATTTGGTCTATGGGTATTCAGTGGTATTTGTTTATTTGTAAACTGTTTTTTGAAGGAATAAAAAGAAACCTCAATTTCAGTCAGAAGTGGTTCATGTCCCTTTGTAATTTGTTTTTTGATGAAATAAAACAATAT